CTCCTGCACACCCCCTACCGGGGATGTGCCCGCAACCAATGTACATGTCCTTGACCGGAATCGAACCTGGGACCCTTCAGTCCACAGACCGACGCTCTACCATTGAGCCAAACCGGTTTCAGCTACATTTAATTCTTTTATCCATTTTGAGTTTACTCTTGTGTATGGTGTAAGTTGGTGGTCTAGTTTCATTTTTTTGCATGTATCTATCCAATTGTCCTGAGTCCATTGCATGCTCTTGCCTTCTTTGTCAAATATCAATGGAACATAATGGCTTGGGTCTATTTCTGAATTCTCTGTTCTGTTTTATTGATCTATATGACTATTCTTATGCCAGTTCCAGGCTGTTTTGATTATAGTGGCTTTGTAGCATAACTTGATATCTGAAACTGTGATTCCTCCAACTTTGTTCTTCTTCCTCAAGATTGCTGTAGCTATTCAGGGTCTGTTTTGGTTACATGTAAATTTTTGGAGTATTTGTTCTAGCTCTGTGAAATATGCCATTGGTATTATAATAAGGATTTCATTGATAATAAACAATCCAATTGAAAAATGGGCAAAACACCTAAATAGACACTTCACCAAAGTGGACATACAGGTGGCCAAGAGACATATGAAAAAATGCTCAAAGTCACTAATCATCAGAAAGATGCAAATTTAAACAACAATGAGGTATCACCTCAAATTTGTCATAATGGCTATCATTAATAAATCAACAAATGACAAGTGCTGGCAAGGATGTGGAGAAAAGGGAACCCTAATACATTGCTGGTGGGAATGTTGACTGGTGCAGCCACTATGGAAAACAGCATGGAGTTTTCCTCAAAAAATTAAAAATGGAATTGCCATTTGATGCAGTGATCCCACTTCTAGGAATATATCATAAGAAACCCAAAACACCAATCAGAAAGAATTCACCCCTATGTTCATTCAGCACAATCTGCAATAGCTAAGACCTGGAAACAGCCCAAGTGCCCATCAGTAAATGAGTGGATTAAAAAAACTGTGGTACATATACACAATGGAATACTACACTGCTTTAAAAAAGAAGGAGCTCTTACTCTTTGAGACAGCATGAAGGAACCTGGAGAGTATTATGCTAAGCAAAATAATACTTAATAATAAAGTCAGAGAAAGACAAGCGTCACATGATCTCACTTATATGTGAAATCTAATGAACAAAACAAGCTGAGGAATAAAATAGAGCTAGAGTCATAGAAGCATGAAACAGACTGTCAAATCTCAGAGGTAAGGTGGTGGTGGGGAGAGATTAACCAAAAAACTTACATGCATGTATGCATAACTCATGAACACAGACAATAGTGTAGTGAAGGCTGGGGGAGGGGTACAGGGTGGCGGGATTAATGGGAAAAAAGGGGACATCTGTAATACTTTCAACAATAAAGATAAATTTAAAATAAATAAATAAAAGAAGTCTACAGTGTTTGTAAAGTAATTTGAAAAAAGCAGCCTCCAACTCATATCCTAATTTTCAAGTTGGATACTTACAATCTTAGTCCATACTTTGCCTATTTTCTCCAAACACTCGTTTTGTGTGTACTAAGGCTGACCCAGATGAAATTGCCAATAACTGATTATTTTTGGACCCTCAAAAGCAACAATTTAATATGGTCTGCCCTAAGTCCTTGAGGGAGGCCACATTCCTCTTTTGCATTTAAAAAAATTATATATCTACTTCTAGTGCTTCCTAGTTGTTATATGCCATAAATTTTAGTTAAAAAAACAAAACAAAACAAAAAAACAAAACCCAAAAAACAAAAACAACTCCACATCTCTAAATTAGGGTTGTCAGGAAGCAAATGGAGGGTGTGGTGATTATTGGTGAGGATGGTTGCTTGAGGCAAAGTCAAACAACAGTTTCTATTGCCTAAAAATTTCAGAGAACCAAAATGTTACTGAACCAGATTGTTGATATCCAGGGTCAAAAATATAATACCAAACTAAGATTATATTTATGAGGACCAGCACTAAATGAATAAGAAATATAAAGGCAAAATTAAAGCTAACTAAAAAAATTTAAAAGGGCAAATCCCTTAAATTAAAGCAATCAAACCCACAATCATGAATATTTTAATATAGATAAAACATATTTGAAAATTAAGTTTTACTGAGAACCCCAAAGAAAGGCAATTCTTTTGGTTTTATTTTATTTTTAAAAAATATATTTTATTAATTATAGAGAAGAAGGAAGAGGGAGAGAGAGGTAGAAACATCAATGATGAGAGAGAATCACTGATTGGCTGCCTCCTGCACTCCTTCCACTGGGGACCAAGCCCTCAACCCAGGCAGGTGGGACTGTTCAGTTCACAGGCCAATGCTCTCTCCATTGAGCCAAACCAGCTAGGGCTCTTTTGGTTTTAATAATTTAAAGGTTATTTATCTTCTCAGTGCCCCTTTTAATATAACTTTCTTGGTGTGTTGGATCAGTGCCCTGCTTGTAATTCTATCTTTGGCCTAAGCTATATTATTGAAAACAGGTTGTCTTCCATTTCTAGTATTGACAAGTCTAAGGAATAACGCTGGCTATCTTCCTAAATTTCTCTATGTGCTCTTCTTACCTACATGTTAGAACTAAATAATAATCGATGACACACCGCAAATATATATGTGGCAAGTCTGCTCATGTTACTCCATAACATTAGCTAAAGTCAGTTTAGTCTAGAATTATGGAGATGTAAAAAGCCTGGAGAAGAATTCTGTAGCTCAACACATAAAAGGGAAGAAATTCAAGCTCTCAAGAAGTTATGCAAATTGTACCCAGTCCAATCCAGCCAGGGTGGCTCAGTGGTTGAGCATTGACCTATGATCCAGGAGGTAACGGTTTGATTCCAGTCAGGGCACACGCATTGAGTTGTGGGCTCAATACCTGGTAGGGGGCGTGCAGGAGGCAGCCAACAGATGTTCCTCTTTCATCGATATTTCTATCTCCCTTTCCCTTCTCCTCTTTATAAAATCAATAAAAACATATTTTAAAAAATTATCCCCATTCCTACTGTTGAGAATGACAGAAATGAAAAGAGAATTCTGGTTTCCAAACTACTAGCATGGTATCTTTTCAAGTAAAATGCAACAGGTTCTAACATTGGAAACGAGAGAGAGAGAGAGAGAGGGGGGGGGGGATGAGAGAGAGAAAGAAAGAGGGGGAAATGAATCATGAAGGAAATACTGCATTTTGGAAACTATTTTAAGCAAAAGTTTCTGTTAAAAACCAAATTACAAAGGGAGCACCAATGTTTTGCAGAACTCTGAACAAGAGGTTATTGAGTCTATTGCAACTCTCAAGTGGCATATCTGGATTAAATTTCTCAGGGAAACTGTATAGGGTTAGGAAGTCCCACAGCACTATGACCAGACATCTTGATGATCACATTGAGGAACTTAGATGGTCAAAATATTTGTTGAATGAATTTTGAATGAATGAATGCAGTGTGGATGAATGTGTTCTCCCAACTATTGAACCCACACTCCAGCACTGCAAAAGAGTAAACGATTTCCTCACTTGCCTTGGAAACGGAATTTACTTCGACTCTCTTGTAGGTCCCCAAATAAATAGCCATTAGTTCCTTCGAGAATCCTGAAAGGTTACTGAACTAAACCACAGAAACACCAAATTACAGACAACATATTGCAAATTTTAAAATCACAAATATTATTAGCAGGGAACTTCATCCATAATTTCCTCTAAAGGATATGATGATCACATAGATTAAACAGGAGCAACGAGAATAACATTTCAAACTGACAGCAGCCAATTGGAGTAAATCTGCAGGAACACTAAGTGATCAATTCGTCTGAAACTCCGACAGTCACCCAGCATTTCAAAGCTCTCACAGGTCAGTCAGGAACTGCAAGGCTATTCCAACCCAGACCATGAACCAACCATGACACACCACAGGAAACAGGCCAGTCTTTCAGGAGGATGTTGAAACAAGTTTATATAAAGCACAGTTGAATTTTTCAAATCAATTTAAGCTTCTTCCTCCAATCTAGAATCCTTTTTTCCCCCCTAACATCAAAAGCATCAGATTTTAGTGACTTAAAAGAAAGCGCTCTCTCTAGGTTTTTCACACTTGAATATTTTCACAGTCAAACAAAGAAATGCCGAGAAACATGAAAGCTCTGCCTCCCCAATCACAACTGACTTGAAACTTGATAGGAATTCAAAGCCTGAAATGCCACCATCAGCTTAATTACAGTCGACTTAAGCAACTCCTTTCTTTTGAGTGAACAGTCCAGATTAACTGGGATTATATCACGAACTATTTAAACCAGTATTAGGAAACCCTGAAAAATATTTTTAAAAATTCAATAAAATAAATGTGAAATTTCTTACTGCGTTTGGACTGAATGTATTTGAATACTTCTTTCACTGGTTGGTCTGATCGGTGGACCAACCTTAAAAAATGAAGAAGTCACTTGGTGTTTACATTTTAAGTCTAATTAATGCCAAAACAAATTTGCATTCCTTGACTTCTTTACCTGTGGCACACTCCCTAAGTAGCACAGAACTGAAACAATATTTATCTATCCACTTCATGCTCAAAATGTTCACACTATAAATCCAGAGTCAATACTCCATTAAAGGAATCATCAAGAGTATAAAACCATTCATAAAGTGTTGATTTCTGGTATGATTAGTCTTTCTAACTTGCTCTAATCTTTATTTCCAGAAGAAAAAATTTGCTAAAAATGGCACAAATGTGTCCTAGATCAAGTGGCCATGTAATCTATCAGTCATGTCTGACAAGGAAAGGAGGTGCTATAAGTAATGAGGCCAGGACCACAGGTGCAAACTGGGCTGCCTCAGGGAGACCAGGCATGTGGGTACTGTATGCCTCAGAATCCAAGAGAGGGCACATGTTTTCATTCCCGGCCTTCTGAGGGTCGTGGAAAGACCCCTAATGAAGAGGGCCTTTTCGGTCCAAGTCTTGGGTGCCATATTCTATCTGCTCTCCACGGCATCGCATCCGCTCACTTACCCGACCACCATGTCCTTGGGTCCAGCCGTCACGGTGCAGATCCCGTCCTCGCAGTGCTTCCCCACCAGGCTGTGTGCATGCAGGTGGATGCTCTTTCCATTTGTGACCAGCTGGACAATAACCTTTGCAGGTCCCATATAGTTGCAGATCTATGTAAGAAGCACATTTTAAAAGTGAGTGCATCAGATGAGTGGATTAAAAAACTGTAGTGCATATACACAATGGAATACTATGCTGCTGCGGTAAAAAAGAAGGAATTCTTACTATTTGCAACAGCATGGATGGAACTGCAGATCATTATGCTAAGTGAAATAAGCCAGTCAGAGAAAGATAAATACCACATGATGTCACTCGTTTGTGGAATATAATGAACAACATAAACTGATAAACAGGACAGATTCAGAGACAGAGAAGCATCGATCGGACTGTCAAACCTCAGAGGAAAGGTAAGGGAGGGTTGGGGTAAGGGGGAGAGATCAACCAAAGGACTTGTATGCACGCTTATAAGCCTAACCAATGGACATGAACACGGGGGGGGGGGGGGGGGGGGGGGCATGAGTGGGGGCGGGGGTTAGGGGGTTAATGGAGGGATAAGGATACATATGTAATACCTTAATCAATAAAGAAATTTAAAAAAATAAAAACAAGCCAGATTCTAAAACAAACGAACAAACAAACAAAAAATAACAGACCAGATTTCTTGAAAAAAATTAAAAAATAAAAGTGAGAGTATCTGACTCTATTGCAGTATAGAAAATGCTTAGGACAAGCCAGTAAGTATAAAAAATAGACTCTGTTTTTAAAAATATGTGATGAACAAATGATAGAATGGAAATACATAAAAATGCTAATGGTGGTGGTTTTGTGTGTGTGGGATCTACTATTTGGTAGCAGACCAAATATAATACAGTCCGTACTGTTGAAGTTGGAACAGCGCATCTTTAGGATACTGTGAAGCCACGAAGCACCCTCTTCCTGCTAACCAAGAATACATTTTCATGTGCACTTCATCACAATTTTCAGTCACGAAAGCTGTATAAAAGATCTGTCAGAAGGGACTGGGATTGATGGAGAATGGAAATCAAGGTAAGGAGAGATTTGAGCAGGCACAGTACATCTTGTGATTCTGCCATGAGACAGGCAGGAGAGTCTTACCAGAGACCTGGCTCTGAAGGTTGTCAATGGACACCCCAGCTCACAGACCAGGGTTGCAGTGATTGGTTAGGAAACTTGAGCCTGGCATTCTCTGCTATGAGCTCTAAGAACTGAGTTACAGATGCCCAGATCATACGTAGTACTTTAATTAAAGTACGTGCACTTCCAAGGTGCAAATCCTTATATCTGACACTGATTGCGCTCTTATTTCATAAATCAGGTTTTCCCATTGAAGGTAATTTATCTTTTTTATTGTTATACCATGAAAGTGATAATTCCACTAAAAAGGAAATAGCAAGGGGATGGTTATATTTTAAGCAAAGGAAGGTTGGACAACCTTTCTCCTCTAGTTGGTCCTCAGACCTAGAGCAGACCACAGGTTCCTTCTTTGAGAGAGTCCCAACACTAAACTCACATTAACAGAAAAGACTAATGGCTTTAGTTTTTACTTTCCCAAATCCTATGAATCAGAATCCTCTCATAAATGCAGCCAAACTGTTGGAAATACATTGTAACTCCCCAAAGGGTGACCAGCCATCTCAGTTTGCCCAGAACTGAGAGGGTTTCCTGGAACACAGGACTTTCAGAGCTAAGAGTTGGTCATCCTATCTCTGAAACTCACACTGCCTCTTTTCCAGGAAGTGCATGACCTAAATCCAGGGCCTCTCAGCTCTGCAATCATTAGAAATACTTTAATCTGCACAAGCAGCCTTTAGCTCAGGTGGGGAAAGAGTGGACAGGAATCCTATCTGGTGAATTTAAGGAAGAACCGACATTTGCCAATAAAATTTATTGGAAACAGGCTTTCAACCAGTTTGCTTCTACTACGGTAGCATATCACCAAACAGATGCAGATTTCCTTGATGCAGGGTTTCATTAGGATTTTTTAGCATGGATCCCCCTCCACACCCCACCTCCCCGCCCCAATCCAATCTCTCAATGCAAGAATTGAGAAGTTGATATGAGCTGGGATTATTCCCCTGGAGGTTTTGGGGGAGAGACGACCCTCTAACCAACAGTGTGGATCCACTGAAAACCTTAGGGCTTCTCTGCCTGAACCTTGACTCAGAGTTTCGGCAAGAGTTTGCTTCCAAATCCTCTAACAAGCCTTCTCAAGGACCATGGCCACCTGTGGGTGTGGCCTCCCATCCTCATAGAGCTAAGCTTATCACAAAAAAATCTTTAGGATTAAGTCAGGTTTTGACCACCTCAAAGCACAAATAATTTCTTAAACAGGCCTAGCATTTAAAAAGCCCTCTGGGCATAACACTAGTTATAAACTTAATGCTTTACCTTTTATAACAGGCAGAGAGCCTTTGCCCCTCAGGGCAGGACAGGGGATGGAAAGTACTGGGCTTGCTCCAAAGTTGGCTGTTGTCCCTACATACTCTCTGGATCGCTGAGTCTTGCGTTTGGTGCTGACATCTGAAGTTGGTCTTTGTTATGAGGACACACTCCACAGGGGCTTCCTCAGCGGTAAGTGAACAGTGGAAGCAGCGCTCGATAGATCATGTAATCCCACTTTTGACGTGCACGAAGCACAGAAACGCAGCCGTGTAAGGCATGGCGGAATGCTTCACTTGGGTGAAATCAGGCAGGCCTTCCACCAGAGCGGGACAACAGGAGGAATCCAGTGATGGAAGCCCCACCACTCTGGATATCTGGGCCCTTCAATGTCACCATTGGGAAGGAATCAGTCACTGAAGGGAAGAGGTGGGAAGTGTCCCCCCAAAGTACTCACATCTTTTTCTTTCTATGACCTCACGATGAAAGGGTGGCAAGAATGAGGAACTGGGTAGTCTCTGAGGAAAGGCACCTGAAAAATCTGGCGATGACTAACGCGCTGAGCCATGTGAAAGAGTTCAGGTCGGCATGGCATCATCTGGTTTTTACACAGACCACAGAGCAAGGACAGGGAGGCCCCTGGGTTTTGCGGACTTTCCAAAATACTGACTGAGAGAAGAAAGCTGAAGTGTGAGGCCGAGAACACATGATACTATTTTGAGATTATATGGTGAACTGGGATTCTAACATTATATTTAGATGATCTCAAAAATCTAACATGGGAGAGGGAGGGTGTGATGTACTTTATAAAATGCCAGGATAGCTGAGAGCTCTTTGCAGTTGATTCGGAAATTTCTTTGTTTTATGGAGAATGTGGGTACTTTTAGTCAGCTTCCCTCTTACTTTTTTGAATAACAGTTCCCTTGGAAGTTAAGTTTATGGAAAGCAACTGCATCTTCCAGAAAGGTGGAATCATTTTTGAAAGAGTCTGAATGTAGCAGGCTCTTAATTAAACACGAATGGCTCAAACACAAGGTCAGTTTTTAGTTATGGACAAAGAGACACAGATGACAACTTGAGTAATCAGCCATCAAGGGGGCATTGTAAGCATAAGTACTTGAGGGGCAGACGCTGGGTTTAAGGACAGGTCTATCATTTACTAGCTGTGGCCTTGGGCTGTGTTCATTCCTACTCTGTAAAATGGGGACAATAGCAGGACCTTACAGGTTTGTTGTGAGGATTAAATACGTTAATGTGTGTAAAGTCTTTGGAACATTGACCAGTAAGTAACATTAGTACACAAGCTTTACCCATTACCTTTTTTTTTTTACTACTATATTGTACTTCTCTACCCAGAGATCTATAAATAGTACAACTGCCCTGAGATTATTTTTTTTTTTTAAAATCCTGTCTAAAGGTGGGTGGTTAGTATAAACCACCCCTAGGGTAAATTTTTTTTTCCAGAGTGTCATATTTTACTGGGCTTCGTTAATTTTCTAGCAATAATTATGTTACAATAGTAACAGCTGCCCTTCTTGGGGGCGCTCAGGATTCTGTGGCTTCCTTGATGAACTAAACTTTTCTTCCAGGAGCTTCATGACTCAATTACCTCCTGATGACCACAGGTTAGATCTGCTTTTTGAGTAAGAAGTAGAAACCAAGGGCTCAGATAATACCGAACTTAGTCAAATCACCTCCTTTTATTTAAAACAAGTCTGCCCTGCTCTGGCTAAGTACATGACTAAGAGAAGTAGTCTAGAATTTTCTGGGAATCAGAATTTGAAGTGGCTAGTTTGCTTGCTGAGTGAATGTGACCCTATCACTCTGGCAGAATGTAGAGTCAGCATGAAGGTAAGACGTGACACATGAAGTAGTATTTTTTCTGCGCAGTTTTCCTCATGAAGTGACGATGATGATGGTAATTAAAGAAGAGGAAGAAGACAAAAGCAATGTGTTTAATTCCAAGAGCTCAGAGCCAGGCTGCTGGGCTCTAATCCCTCTGCTGCAATTATTAGCTGGGTCAACAGGCAAAGATAGTTAACATCTCTGGATATCAGTTTTTCCACCTCTGTGTGAAAGTAATAACACACTTGGTTTCATAGGGTTGTTTTGAAGGATTAAATGAGCTGATACAGTGCTTGGAAACTAATGGGATTAGCAATCTCAAATATCAACTCTCCTATCCTCACTGATAACCAAAATGTGTCCATGTATTCAATGATTATTTATTAAGCCCCTGTATGTTTCATGCCCTGCAGTAAGTCAGGGATTGAAGGGATACAGAGTGAGGGAAATATAGACACAGCCCCTGTTTTTTGGAGAATTAAAGAGTAGGACCAACAATAATCAGAGGATCTCACCAAATTAATGCCAATGCGTAACTGAAGCGCTGACAAAGGACACACTGTAGGGATGTGACTGGGTCAGGAAGTCTGAGAAAACCTCCTGAGGGAGCAATGAGAGCTGAGCTCTGGAGAACAGGATTGGAACGAGGGAAGAGGTGCGGAGGAGGGGCTTGGGAACAGCATTCGGCCAGGAAGGGCAGCACGTGCAAAGGCCCTGTGGTAAGTCTGCTTATTCGTCATACTCGCCGCCACTTCTCAGCTTCCTTCGGTGGTTCCTACCCCCTGGGGGTGTCCCTTCCTTCTCTTTTCTACCTAGAGCCACCCACTTCTCAAGGGTAAGACCTAATTCTCAGTCTTCCATGACA